AGAAACGGCGCTTTCTAAATCTATGTAGGCCAGACGTTTTCGGCCACTCGCTCGACGTTTCTAGAATTCTGAGTCATGCTCGCACTTTGCCAAAGTAAAGGCGTTTCGCTAATCCGGTACCACCGGAGTCCACCGGTGCTTCTCGAAAGTCGTTCAATTATGAGCACAAAGCCCTTTCTGGACAGTGTCGTTTAGAGATTGGGAGGAATTCGATCTCACCCAACTCTCTCAGTCTAAAGGCTTTTCTAAGTTTATGTTGTGCTTTTACGAGATCGTATGCCAAAGGCCAATTCGCTCAATGTGGCCGGGTATCATCCGCTGCCTAGAAGAGGAGGGTGAGGAAAAAAGTGAAGCATAATACAACCATGCAAAAAGTGAAGAAGGGAAGATGAAAAGGAGGAGAGGGTAAAGGCATACAAGCCACGCATGCTATAATACAAGTGACGGACATTTCCTAAAAATAGGGGACTCTGGCGCTACGATCTTCACTTCACTTTTTATTTCCTTAAGGGCCCCCTCAAGGGGGGTATTACATAAGGGGTGGGGTTACAATTGGGTGGCATATATACATAATGATAATTATGATCGTTCAGCGACCATGGGAATGACGCGTACACTGTACTCGAATTTGCCTAGTCTTCGCACTTGCGAGTTTGGAACGCCCTTGCGACTTTGTTTATTGTTGTGTTTTGCTTCTACTTCGAATAATAGAATGGACAGGAGTGAATTTCACGAGCATATTTGAATTAGGTGACCCGAAAAGGTTAATGTGGTGAAATGCAACTGCTAAAGATTTGCCGATTGTTGTTTCTCGTGACAAGGCAGCTCCATGCCACGTGAAGCAAAACAGAGCCAAGGAAGATTAGACAAATCCATGTACAACCCATCATTCCCATGCTCACTGAAGCACCGTTCGTTGCAGCTCACATAAACACTAGCGCCAGAGTTACCTCTAGTGTACTTATGAGAAGCTCTTCTAATGTGGAAGGGATCTAAGGAAGAAGGATGGACAGGATGAGGGAGAAAGCATGGCGTAGCCGTGTTTAGTATACAACAAGGGGTGAAAAAGAAAGTGAGGATGAGCGATGCGAGGTTAAGGAGGAGGTGAGAGAGTAAAGCGTAGAATAGTCATGTATTTAGGGTATTGCAAAAGGGAAGGGGAATTCGGGTTGGGCAGCGACGGCTGTTGGCGGAGCCTACGATTACAGACGCTGTGCCGCGCTTTCAACCAGGCTGCAGATATTAGGCGCCTTCTTCTTCTAACCCCTATCACCAACCCTATATTTATATATGTTATTTTTTAATTTGAAAGGTTATACAAGGCGAAACGTGCATAATTAAAAAATACTTTTGGAACAAACTTGTTCAAGGCTTCGCGATTGTTATTGGGAGAAAAAACACACCTATTACAGTACTGAATACGGATAAAACAAAAGTCTGTGAAGTAAGACAAATGCAGTACAAAACAAAATGTGACACCACATTTGGTGACAATATTTTGTACTAAAGTGGGCCTTAAGAGGAAAAGGAAAACTGAGGCTGTGAGCAAGCATGCACAGTGCTATATATTCCCTGCAAGGCAGTGGTTTCACTTTTTTACAAATGTTTTCAACGTTGTTAGACTGGTTAGGTTACGATAAATGGACTGTACAACGTTACATAAGTTTGAAAGAAACTAAAACGTTTTATTACGGCCCAAAACAATAGGCTACCGAGCGCGCAATCGCGTGGTCTTACGTGAGCTGGGGCAACTTGAGGACGACCACGTCGTCGACGAGGTAGGAGTTCCCGGAGTCTCCGACGGGACGCATCGCCCCACCCCCGAGCACCAGGCGACCGGGTCTCAGAATCGCGGAGGCTGACGCCATGCGAGGACAGCACAACCGTCCGCTCTGGGTTGTCCACCGGTCGGCAGACGGATCGTAGCACTCGGCAGACGATAGTACTCTACGGTTTTAGTAGACTTATGTAATGCTTTAAAGCTCTTATGAATAACTAATTTTTAACATTCACTTTTAAGACAATACAATAGAACACAATACTATCTATCTATCTATCTATCTATCTATCTATCTATCTATCTATCTATCTATCTATCTATCTATCTATCTATCTATCTATCTATCTATCTATCTATCTATCTATCTATCTATCTATCTATCTATCTATCTATCTATCTATCTATCTATCTATCTATCTATCTATCTATCTATCTATCTATCTATCTATCTATCTATCTATCTATCTATCTATCTATCTATCTATCTATCTATCTATCTATCTATCTATCTATCTATCTATCTATCTATCTATCTATCTATCTATCTATCTATCTATCTATCTATCTATCTATCTATCTATCTATCTATCTATCTATCTATCTATCTATCTATCTATCTATCTATCTATCTATCTATCTATCTATCTATCTATCTATCTATCTATCTATCTATCTATCTATCTATCTATCTATCTATCTATCTATCTATCTATCTATCTATCTATCTATCTATCTATCTATCTATCTATCTATCTATCTATCTATCTATCTATCTATCTATCTATCTATCTATCTATCTATCTATCTATCTATCTATCTATCTATCTATTACACTGATTATATTTAGCATGACATAGGCTGCTGCCGGCACTACCGGCGTTTAACTTTTAGATGTTCTCGCAAAATGCCTAAGTGGACTTCTGCAGGTCGTCCACGTCATTAGCCACGAGATTATGCCCGCGGGATAGCGTTAACTCACCTATTGTGGTCACCCAACCCGCCGATTGCGTACAGTCTGCCCTGGTGCTCTGCCAGTACGTGAAACAGGCGACCCTGGGACATGTCAGCCAGCCTGCGCATAGTATGGCGAGTTTATTGATTAGTTCCTTTCACGATTGCACATAACGTTATGAGGTTTTATGCTCAGAAAGAACCATGAAATGGATCTGTGGTGTGGCATTCCGGGTGAATTTTTACCGCCACGGCTTCTTCAGAACAGTACTGAATCTTAGAACACGGGCGTTGTGCTTTTCACCACTGTACTGAAATACGGCTACTGTTGCCACGAATCAAACCGGTGGCCTCCCGCTCAGCAGCGCAGTGCCGTATCTATTAATTCATCATGGAAGGTGTTTGCCTTTCTGTACGTAATTGAAACGATTCTGTGTCGCTTAGCGTCAGACTATTTGAGAAAGTTGAGAATCTGTGTCTGCTATATTTAACGTAGATATTTAGCATCAATACCACATCACTTCATCAAAAACATGTGGTGAGCTGACAAGTGTGTATCCTCTCATGAATCACTCGTGCCCTCGGTTGTCCTCACCTTCTCCACTGCATGTTCGGGAGATCCAGGGCGAAGCAACACCTGGAAGGTCGCTTCACCCTCAGAGCCGCCTGCCGGAGGTCGAGTCCACCTGCGAAACACGTCCAGCAAGTGTTGGAAGTAGGACCAGCGAAACCGATGCTTCCATTTAAAGTTGTTATTGAAGTAAAGAATATATTTCCAGAAGAACTCCGTAAGATTCCCATTGAGATTTCTTGTGACCAATAACACGGCAGGCGAATGCAGTTTTAGTAAAACCCACGTGATTAGCTACATCACAAAAGACGTCATGTTGTGACGTATTGAGTTGACGTCATTCGGACGTTACGTCATTGTGGACGTCACAGTTAGAACAAATGTAGGACGCCACTGCGATGTTATCAAGATGTCACATGGTGCCGTCATCGCCTGCAGTTGTCACGTGGTGACCTTATCTCATGGCGTCGCTGCTTGGTCAAAGGTGATTCGATACTGGAGGCCCTGCAACACTAGGAGGGGTGAGGCAGAAATGCTCAGAGGGCAATGATAAACAAGCAGTCGCAGGAGAACACCAATCAATCAATCAATCAATCAATCAATCAATCAATCAATCAATCAATCAATCAATCAATCAATCAATCAATCAATCAATCAACCAATCAATCAATCAATCAATCAATCAATGAATCAATCAATCAATCAATCAAATAATCAGTCAGTCAATCAATCAATCAATCAATCAATCAATCAATCAATCATTTTGATAGGAGTACGGGACCAAAAGTTTGAGAGCTTGACGAGGTCCCGACCCCGTTAAAAGTCGGCAAAGCAGCAAGAATGACAGACAATAATGCATAAAGAATACGAAATAAACTTACACGTATCACATCGCACAGGGTAATACAAAATTAATGAAACAAAGCTCAATCAAGGTAATGTAGTGCACCTCTCTTACACTGTGGCGCCTTATGTCATGCAACAAGTCTGGTCTCCGCCTGTATAACCCGATGCATTGCCGAGTGCACAGCAGGCTTCCACCTTGAAGTGCGAACTTTTCCCATGTGCGTGCGTTGTGCGTTACTATCCGAAGTACCGCTTTAGTAGTATCGCCTCTCCTCCACAACAAACACGTCGCACTGATGCAAATCTTTCGGGAGAGTGATTATAATAATTACCGAGTGCGTTACACCACTAACTCGATGACGTATTTCACTGCCAGCGTCTAGACATAATCCGACGCATATTAAACGAGTGTCTCGGATTTCACTGATCTGGAAACCCATTGTCCGAACTGGGAGACTCGACCCACTCGCGTAGGCGTAAACCAGATACCGTCTATTGAACCATCACTACGGCATCCACTGAGTGCGGTGGCACTGAAAGGCATTCCAAAGCCCTGACGGCTCCTTTTTCAACATTAGCGCGTCGCTCGTCTGGTAGACTTTCGGAGCATTCCACGCCTGTGGCCCACAGGTGATTGTGCGATAAAAAACAAAACGTGTGAATGCTGTAGTGTTAATAATAATAATCTTTGTACGGTATTATGCCACAAACACCTCTATATAATTATAAGGGACGTCTTTATGAAGGGTTCTAGATTTTTCGTTTATCTAGTATTCTTTACCGTACACCCACATCTCAGTACACTAACGTTTAGGATTTGACTTTTAATGAAATGCGTCCACCGTGGCCGGGATCCCATCCCGCAATCTTCGGGTCAGTAAAACACCAAACAATTTGATCAAAGAGTAGTTAGTTCTTATCAGCTTCTTATCTGATACGGGTACTATCAAAATGTAAGGCATTAAACTTATTTTTGAAAACGGGGTGGAGTGCTTGAAGCCTGCTTCACCTCCGCCACGGTCTTTCCCGGGACTATGATGTCGCTCTATCCATCTGTTTACTGTGTTTTTCAGTGAAACGTCCGTTAAGAAAGCAACGATGTTATATTTTTTACGTGCGTGTTCATCCTCTACACGGCTGTGTTAGCCAGGCAGACCCAACCAAGACACTGTTCATGTACAGTCGCGCGTTATATAAAAGGGAACGCCGAGCTTTTCTTTCAGCAACGATACTTGTGTTGTGATAATCTTGTCTAGTGACCCAAAAAGAAAAAAAAAACCTTTCCGCTTGAATGTGTAGTGTTACGAATACTTTTCCGGCATAAAAAAGCGTGTTTAGAAACCATGACCACTTGATAGCAACTACGAGTGTTCTCTTTAATATTGCTCAGGGCTGGAAATGTGACATCAATAAAACAAAATTGAGAGAATGCACTGCTACTGACAACAATGAATGGCCTGAGTTAGGTGACATGAGCCGAGATTGGCCAACGATTACACTCATGTAACACGCACCAGTCACCATTTAGCCAACGCTACCGATGATTTATAGTGTACAACAGTGTAACATATCGAAACATGTTGGTAACCGTAGGCTCAGCTAATATTAGGTATGGTACGATAATCTCAAGTAAACTGAAACGTACTCCAACCAGAGCTATTTTAAACACATCAATCATAACTATACCAAATTGTTAGTCAGCAATACCAGTGCTAACCAGTGTTAGCAGAATGCGCATCAATAAGGCAGGCCAAGTAATGACCTCTAACCTTGAGACATTCAATGTTTACTGATCACAAATCACGGATGGGGCACGCTAAAATAGGTTTCAGCATAAATTGTACACACACATGTAAAAAAACGAAAATTATATAAATTCATTACCTTCAATTTCTGTTAAAATTACTGGATTGTGTCTGACAGAAAAAAAGACACGTGACTTTTTTTTTCGCTCAAGCTAACTACATGTCAATAAAGAAAGAAAAGAAAAATGAGTATAAAGCTAGTCAAGTACTCTATTGTATTTCTTGCACTAAATGTTTTCCGAGGTATTTAACGAAGCCTTGCCCAAAGTTTACTGGAAGGCACCACTTCGTACATAATTGAAAACACCTATATCATGCAGTGGGCTGAAGCGGAAGAGTATAGGAAGGAGGAGTGTAGCCCCGTTATCCACGTAATACATTGTGAGAGAGACGTGGCACGTTCAACAATGGCCCTGGCGTCCTTAATACAAGAATTTGGCGTTCTAAATAGAGTTTCAGCATTAGGGAGTCCGCAAAAAAAGTTGATCTTAGAAACGTCCAGTTATGCCGAGTCATCGAGAAGATTTGTTGTTGTGCTGTCCACTAGACACAACTCAGACGTATATCAATCATTCAACACCACGGTGGCGGTTCCGAATCCGGTGCCCTGTTAACGTGAAGCCCGTGTGCTTCGGGCAGTGTGATGTGTTTTACGTACTACACTTTTCATGAACCATTTCGTCTTGGGACGATAAATTTTGAAGCGAACTGAAGTTTGTCTCGTCCACGTGTGGTTCCAGCTGAACTGTTTCATGCGAAAATCATGACCTCTCACACAGTGCTTGAACTTATCTCGTCCTCGGCCCTTCCTGCTGGCAACGCTGATACACAGCCAAACGCCACCTTTCGGTTTCAAAAGTTTGCTCTGACACTCGGTTAAGTACGCGTTAGAAATTTACCCGTTTTAAAAACTTAATTGCACGTTTGTCCGCTGATTAACTGCTGATGATAGTGACGGATTGCGTGACACGCGGGTCGTCACACTGCTCACGACACGACGTTTAACACTGGACGGCAGGTTTAACGCGTGTTGGGATAGCAGAAAAAAACGAATAACTGATATAATTGATTAGTTAATAATGTTTTGAAAATAAATAAAATCGACGGGTGATGTTCATTGGACGAGGAGCCAAGATAGAAAAAAAATGTGCGGTAAGCGTCGATATCAGCCGAATGCTTTCGCTGAGAGGAGCCTCTGACAAGTTAAATTGAGTCGTGTGTTGTGGCGCAATATGTAACGGCAGAAGTGGGCAGAAGTTGCGCCTACGCTAATGCCGAGGAACCCAGTAATGGGCTCGCTTTGGTAGATTTATTGAACTGCGCGTTATGGAGACTGAAGACAAGCGCCATGGTGAATGTTTAGTAGGCAGTCACTTTTGACGCGTTCGCACACTTTCAGCATGGCCGAACGTTTTGAAGAACTGTAACGCTGTGTATATATTGGCTAATGTTAATTAGTGTTGTAGGTTATTTGTTACCGGAGATTTTTAGAATAGCGTACGCTAAGTTTGGGTTAGTTGCGGTCACCCGCTATTTCCCGTCACTTAACGAGAGACCGCAAAAAGTTAGCGTACGAATCGTGCGCGATTGTGGCGAATTCAAACGCAAACTTTTGCGTACGCTATTCTAAGACTCTTCACTACTTGTTAATGGTTGTTGTAAAGCTAATGGTAGCTAACTAGAGGTAATAACTTGTAACGCTAGCGCATTTCTCGTGTAGTCCTTGTTAAATTGCCAATGATTTCTTTATTCAGCCTACTCTGGCGTGAACCATGACCTTACTAAGTGGTAGCAGCCAAAAAAAAAAAAAATATTGTCGAACGAAGTCGGAATGACAGGTGTAAGCAAAAACAACCACGCCCGCTCTTTTTTCATTCTTCTAAGATGACTTTAAAGCGAGAGTCATATTTTTCTTATTCTCAGTCAAATGCAACCAGTCGCGCTGATTTAGTGGTAATGTTTCTCGCCTGCCGACCACAACATCACGGCATGGAATCCCGGCCGTGGGGACTGGAATTTTGATAAAAGTAAAATGCAAGAAGCCCATGCATCTCTTAAACCTAAGTTACCTCTTAGGTTTAAGTGCACATCATAGAAGCCCATATTATTCAAATTTCTGAACCTACTACTACGCCGTCTCTCAGAAACTTGTCGTGGTTTTGCGACGTGAAATTGCTATAATTGTGATCGATCGTGAGAAAAGTGCTTTTGCACTGTCCTCTTAGTTTCACATCTTCTGCTTAACTTTGTATTTCACACTAAGTGCAGCGCCGTTTTTAATCATGCGATTGATCTATTTTATTGATTCGTCCACTGGAAAGCTTTCTGCTCCGAATGTGGCTTCGCATTGCTTCTAATATCGGAGGCATCGCAGCTTTCTGCAACTCAAGTGGTTTTGCACTACAACCTCCGAGATCGGCCCACGTTTGACCAGGCAACTATGGCGTGCTATGACGTCATCGTATAAAGCCACGTTATGTGACGTCTACATGATGTCACAAATTCTGGCGACCCGTGACATGAAGATGACGTCGCATGATACCATAGTCACATGATAATATTTTCGCATCAATGGGTGCTGATGCAGGCGGCCACAGTCGTGCTTTACGAGGCATCTAAGGCCTTCGAAGCCAATTAAGAGGACGTCGCAGTGACCGAAGTCGAGGAACTCACCAACCACGTATACGGTTCTGTTGAAGCATACCGCCTTCACGTGGTACAGTGGTCGGGGCAGGATGCCGAAGCGCTTGAAGAAGGGAGACTTCCTGGGGTACAGCCGGGCCATGCACAATCCTGGGATCGAAAGAAGAAAAAAACAAAACAGGAACATTGGTACTCTGCACATGAGCATGAAGTTGGAATGAATGAGAAACGGATATTACGTTGTTTTCTTGCAGACACCTAAATGTGGCATGAGCGGAAGTACCGAGTCCTAATTTGGGCTTTACATTACGGACACAGAAACCTTACGTTGATTTTTTTGCATGGCCAAAACGTCAGACAGGGTCTTGATGTGTAATGAAGGATTCCAGGAAAGGTTCCAGGAAGGGTTCCAGGGTTCCAGGAAACGCGAGCACACGAAGAAACGATGACGAAAGTTATAGCGCGAAAACAAAACGACGACACAGAGACAAGGAGGACACGAAAGACACAGTCCTTCTTGTCTCTGTGTCATCGTTTTGTTTTCGCGCTATAACTATCGTCATGCCATACCAACTAGCACAAGCTGCCACACCTTTAAGTTACAATAAGCAAGTAACACAGGACCAGCCTTGTCCTGTGCACCACTTTCCTGTGTTCGCGTTTGAATCTTGCTAGAATTTGTCACTTCACATGTATCAACTGGTCTCCAAAACCACACTACTAAAGTGATGGACTTACATTATACGTGAAGGGTTGACAATTTAATACTGAATTTACTGCGGATATGCTGTAATTTTCCATAACTTAAACGTTCGTATGTGCGCTGAAGTACCAGACTTTCTTGTGGTTACCATCGCTTAGTGGCCGGTCCACTCATAAGCGTTACGTAAAGCCCCGAACACTAGTCATGTTACCTTTCAAGTCACAGTAGCCTTATGTGAAGGCGAAGTTTTTGGTTACGGAAATAATTATTTCCATCCTAAAGATAATGTGTCGCATAACGTTGGCTTCACCGTTGGCTTCATTGATGGCTTGTAGTGTTGGCTTCACCACATTAAAGGTGTATATAAGAAAAAGCACGCTTTACAGGCGCTTTAGGGGAAAACTGCGCACGCGCGCACGCAGGGACAGGTTTAGGGACAACTACAAATTACAGAGATTTAGTATCGTGGAAGAGGCACTTTACTGTATACTAAGGACAGTGTGTGGTCGAACTGCTCAGAGACACAAGCACACGCTTCAGCGCTTCGGCGCGTCACTTTTGCTTTGCCGGTCATGTTGCAGTTCCTCACAGACTTCGTTACGTCACTACAAGCTTCCCTATTTCCTACTTAGGTTTTATTCTGCTTCCATAAGTTGACTTCTAGGTCATACAAAGGTACTGTTAAACATTTCCGGTCTGTCGCGTCACTTAGAGGAACAAATTCCTGCTCTTGATGCGACGTGCGCTTCCGACATACTACTCTAACATCAATTCTGTATCTCACTAACGGTGTTAACTTTCCATTTTTCCCACTTCCAGTTTTAGTCACAACATACTAGACATTCTGTCTTAAAGCTAACCTAAGCCCGCATTATACCTGTGTTGTAACA